ACAAACTAGGCTTCATTTCATATCAAAAGCAAAGTTGATGTGTTCACTTTTTACATTCTCTCTGACTCAGTAATCTGTTTTGGAGGAAGGAAAACGTGAAGATAAGGAATGACATTCAAATGAACAAAAGTATGTCATCTACAGGATTGAAAACAAATCAAGTCAGCTAAATGTCAAACACATAGATAAAGGCATGCAAATCATACAGCTTCTTATGTTTTAGATTACAAGTTTCCAGAATTAAAATAACACAATTTGAATCGGGGAAACATCATTCGAGACAAAGGTTTCTTAAAGGTCACTTTAATGCAAACAGGAAATGCAGCTGCCATTAATCGAGATGTTAGATATAAAAGATGACCAAAGAAAGAGGCCAAGCAGAGGCCATAGAGAGTCTACTAACCTGCAGGAGACTTGCAGAACAGGAAAAGTGCCATACTGCTATCGACTGTTGGTATAATCTTGCAAAGCCTATTTTACAGAGACTAGAGGAAACTATTTTTGCCCCTTGTGTATAATTTTCTTGGTAGCTCTGTTAGCCTCTTCCTGATAGTTTGCCATTAAAGAACACTCTTTTTTTGCTATTGGTTCTTCAAAGCTTCAGATTTGCTATCCTCTCAGGGCTTTTAGATTAGTTTTCCTCTCCTCTTCCTTTACGCACTGATTCGTCTTTCCAGCCCCCCCCCTTACATTCCTTAAAGATTTTTTTTCTTTGCAGCTTTGACTCTAGGAGCAAAATCCAGGCAACCAGATGTGTGGGGAGGAGTTGAAAATAACCCAGCCAGAAAAGAACAACTGCTGCTGCTGCTGTTGAAAATGTACACACAATGAAGAACAGCCCGGATAAACAATTTAGCTTCCTTCCCACAATGGAGGTAGAAACATGACAAAATGCATCATACTTAGGGTGGAGGATGACTAAATATCTGCCATTTTCAATGCTAATTTACTTTTTCAGAAAACATTGCTTCTTATACCTTTAAAAAGTGGTACAAATGCAAAGTCTCATAGTTGGATTTGTTTTGTCCACAAGGTGGAGATATTGAGCTGGAAATAGGTTGGTAAAAGACTTTGTATGGAAGACATGAGAGGTCAAACATTGTTTATAACTAAATCAGTCCAAGAGAGGTTGGAGTAAATGTCCTACTAATACATTACAAATTCAGCCTGACTGGGCTCGTTCTTTATTAAAGGATTCACCTGTGATGCTAAACAGGTTCTAAGCACATAACAGTTATCCTCAATTGTTTACACACATTCTTTGAAAACTCAATTCAGGACTCCTCTCACAGCAACAAAAAACACACACAATCTTCGAAATCCCTAATTTTGCTGCAAAATCTAACTTTACTTTTAAAACAATACAAAGTATTCTCATAACATTGCTTTGTTTAAAATATCAACAAAAATAAACATTAAAAAAACATTTGGACCCTGATGGGCTCAGTGTAAAATCACAAATCATGACTTAGACCCTTGAATGAAACGGTACCCATATTAAGAGAGCTCCTGTGTGTCGCTGAATGTGTGCATTGATGACTGAAAGACATCTTCTGCCTCCATTTATCTGTTTACTACAGTGTGTTGAATTCATGTTACTGCATGTTTAAAGACATTTCAATTAGTGGAAAAAATTGCAGGGGGGAATATAAAAAACAAATGTAATCAACCAAAACTTTCCCGACCCCCATACAGTACCTCCGTGGACCCCCTAGAAGTAACGGACCCCTGTTGAAGACCTCCGGTCAAGGGTGTCCTGGAATCGCCCTATATGCTTGCTCAATAATGACTATAAAATTTTTGCGTTCATCATCGCAAAAAGGCTTAAGTGTGTCTTAAACTCCATAATGAAACACAATCAGGCTTTATGACCAACAGACATATAACCAACAATATACTATTAGTGCTAGATATATTAGATTATTCAGATCTATTCAAAGATGATGGATTTCTGTTATTTGTAGACTTTTATAAAGCCTTTGATACTGTGGAACATCAATTCATTTTAGACTCCTTGTGTAGATTTGGTTTCGGACATTATATATCATCTTCAGTAAGGACCCTGTACAAAAATGGTAATAGCTCGGTCAAGTTAACTGGTGAAACCTGTCCTAGATTTGATCTTTTAAGAGGAATTAGACAGGGATGCCCAGTTTCTCCATACCTTTTTCTACTGGTTTCTCAACTTTTAGCAGACCATATTAAATCCAGTGATATTCAAGGCATCCCTCTCTTAGATAGAAAACTTATAATCACTCAACTTGCAGATGATACAACTCTCTTTTTGAAGGATAAAAATCAGGTCTCTAGTGCTTTGGAATCTTTAAAAGAGTTTTCAAGAGCTTCTGGATTATATGTAAATGTCAACAAATGTGAACTCATGGCTATAAAGGAATGCTCCACCAGCTCCATCTGTAATATAACGGTTAAAGATGAAGTGAGGTACTTGGATATAATAATTACTAAAGATCAACAAAGAAGAGCATCCTTAAATTTTGAACCTATTATCCAGAAAACTCAAAGAAAGCTAAACCAATGGCTCTTAAGAGATCTCTCTTTTAAAGGGAGAGTATTAATAACCAAGGCAGAGGGTATTTCGCGTCTGACTTTTGCAGCTTTATCTCTCCACTTAGAGAAAAAACTTCTAAATGACATTGACAAAATGTTATTTAACTTTATATGGAGAAATAAGAGTCACTATTTAAAAAACCCTGTTCTTATGAATCCATAAAATGAAGGTGGTCTTAACTTCCTAGACTTTACTACTCTGAACAACACCTTTAAAATGAATTGGCTAAAAAAAATATACAAACATCCTAACTCTATTTGGAATGCTATACCTTTGTATATGATTTCTAAACTTGGTGGATTAAACTTCTTCTTAATGTGCAATTATGATATTGATAAAGTTCCCATTAAGTTATCAGCTGTTCACCGCCAGGCCTTCTTGTCATGGACTCTGATCTATAAACAAAACTTCTCCTTTTCTCTATTATTTAGAGTGCTGTTTCCCCCAAGCGTTAACTTTTGTTTAATAAATGTCAGATCTTAGTTTATTTTATTTTTTCTTGTCTTTTTTCCTTATTGTTTCTTGTTTTGCACAAAATAAGGTCATTTACTTGACTGGTAAAAATGTGAACTTATACTTGTATATTTGCAGAAACAAATAAAGTTGTATGGAAAAAAAAAAAAAAAGGTGTCCTGGAATGTGACCAGGTGTGCAGTGCTGTAGGAACCAGGGTAGCATAATGATGATGATGATGATGATGATGATGATGATGCCATGTTGCGAAATTGCACCCACTGGGATGTTTCCTCCACGCTGGGCAGGGACTTTAAGGATGGCTAATAATATTCTTTTCCCTTTTTAGTCTTTTTGTTAGATTGAATCTTTCTTTATCAAGGAAGATTAACTGGTGCTCCACTTCAGCTAAAGGATGGGCTGATGCCAACGTAACAATAACAGAAGTAAACATAAAGTGCTCACTTTTGTGAAGCACAATATTACAATACTGGATACATATTAAATAATATATATAGTGTTAAGAGATTAAATCAGTTGTGACTTTGTATAGAATGCTATTGCACAGAAATAAATCTAAATGCTTTTATTTTTTTCTGAATCTCTTCAAAAAATGACACCCTGAAAACTTGCTTCATAAGATTTTTTCTGTGGCACACATGGTCCGGTGTTTTTTTAATTTAACTTATCAATATTCTAAAATAATCGATGAAAGATCACATAATCAGGAAGAAAACAAAGACATAGATAAAGGACAAACATAGCATAGATGTAATCTCAATATTCAGTAACTTTTTAAAATTGCAGGCAAAACAAAGCTTTTTATGAATCACATGATATTTTTAAATGCAACATTTTCAAAATTATCTTCATAAGCCATAATTAGAGAATATAGGTTGGCCAAGCAGAAACAGATGGTGACAAAACTGGGTTGTGATTATTTCAAAGAGAAAGATATATATAATCTTATGGTTATAATAACCCATTAAATAATTTAAGGACGAAATGTATGAATATTTCTCACAACTCATTACCTCTTGTCCCCACAACCCAAAGCTGATGATTAAAACCATCCTTCTGTTCTACTCAGTATGTAGAGACAGAATTTGTCCTCCTCTTCAATAGATATTTCACTAACTAGATTTTTAAAGATAACACCACATTTCTATTATCTGATATGTAATGTTTTTTTTTCTTCTTTTTTTCTATTGTCTGGGGTTTTATTTCTAAAGCTTTTAACACAGATGTTATTCAGACATTTTTAATGAAGAATTTGTGATTTTAAGAGCTTAAAACCTACTGCGCTTTTAAAGGTTCACTATTGTTAGTATTTTACTGACATCTTTTCTTGTTTACAATCCTTGTTGTTTTATAAAGCTTACCTATGGTGTAAGCTTTATAAATCTAGTGCTATTTTACATTTATGTGTTTCTACTTAGTCAAGTTTTTTGCAAATATTATAACCCTATTTATTTATCTTTTATTTATTTTCAGGAACTTATACAACTATTAATTAATTTGATCTTTCTTCAGTTAACATACATAATAATAGCTAATATATACCTAATAACTTTATTTTGGTGAACAATAGCATTAAGAGGTTTTATTTTTTGGTCCCAAGGCCTACCAAAACATTCTTAGGACTTTTGCTGCACATGTCAGGGTAAAACTTTGTGATGGTTATAGTATCTGATTTCAAACATTTGTAAAAATTTTGCTATTATTTCTAAAACTGCCTTTGATCATATTAGGGTCATTGCCAATATAAAATAAATTATCTCTGATGCTCCAACCTCAATTTGCCGTTTTATTACATTTAATCACCTTCATTCTCTTCAATTATCTAATTGTACAGCAGCAAAAAATATGAATCCGACCCGTTTTCTTTATTTATTTACATCTCTTTTTAATGTAATATTATAGATAACATATCTCAAGAATCAATGTATCCTGACAAAGACGTCTCCGACTCAAGATGTCACTTTGCTGTTTATTCGCTAAATTTATTATTTGTTTATACATACATACAGAAATTGCAACAAAATCTCAGTTTGTGTAAACAACAGTTGACTGAATAATCTGTCAACAGAAAAACAAAGAAAACTGCACAGGCTACTCTTAGGGATAGATAAAGTGGAGCATGGGAAGCTTTATGCAAACATCATCATATTACTGTGATTTTGCTGGCTGCAAAGTGGGGCAGACAGCTTGAAGCCAAAGAGTAGGGACTCTGCATAAAGGTTTTATGAGGATTCATGTCACAAACTCTTGAGACTAGATTCAGAAAAAACTCGTAGAGATTAAGCGGGCACAGTAATTATAGCAGGAATTAAGGCATCCAACATGAATGTGCAAGAGTGCTTCAAGGTTGAGCCTCTATTCTAAGGAGGTTTTGGCCAAGTGAGTTGTTTTTTTTTTTTGTACTGGTACATATGCTGGAAAACAACATCTTATCTTTTGTTTTTGCTAAGCTTTCTGACAGAAGCGCGTTGGCAGTGTTTGGAGTTGTACCTATTAATAATTATATAGATTTTGCTGCCACATAGTTTGTGAACTGAAACCCCACCCCCAAAGAAAAGCACTTTTAAAAAGTTTGGATGTTCCATTAAACTGATTGTAAAAGTTTAAGACATCTATATAAAAATAACTTCTTTAATGCAGAATTGCACTCATAAAAATTAAAATGTTGGGGTGCTGACTCAGCCTACTGTATTTCTTTTTTACCAATTTTTTTTTGTTTTTCTTCACTTATGATTTATTCTCATTTGATATCATGTTCAAACCATTTCATTGTCATTTTTAAGAATAATATATATTTCTCTTAATACTTCTTAGAATACAGAAAATAAAGCAGTTATTTTCTTGTTTAGTCGGTACCCTGAGAAGAGATTAAACACCAACTTAAAAAAATCATGTCCGTTTCGTTTTTTTTTTTCTCAATTTCTTGAATTTCTCTAATATATTCATCATTTTAGATTTTTAGGACCAACTTATACACAGTGGGGGATAAAGAAAACATATTAATAGCTTAGAACATCAGGAATAACTAAACATAGATAGAATTGCTAAATGGGCTTTCAAACCATATTACAATCATTGTCTAAAGATGATCAAATCGATATAGATACTACTGCAAAACCTAGATTTAAACGGTGGCATGCTTGAGCAGGCAGTACAGATAAGAAAGCCAAGGCCACCATATCTCCCTACATCCCTTTAATTCTGGTTAAATGCGTTTAGATTCACCACATGAAGATACATTTTACAACACATGAGCTCTAAACATGTCAATATTTGAAATAACATTAGGAAAGTTTACTTCTCCAAGAATTGAGTAAAAGAACAGGTCATTGAACATTTATGGGTTAGAAAATAAAATCAGAAATGCAGCATTTTTGGGTAAATTTCATTTCCACTTAGCCTCCAGAGGTTTGATATCTATTTGCCTTCTTTTATCTCCTTGCTTGTTCCTCTGCTCCCAATCCAATGGCGGAGTAACCTCTCCTGCCCCCTGCACCCTATGCCTCCTGCTTCTACTCATCATCCAACATTTCAAACAGGGCCTGCAGCAGCCGGTCGTCTCTGTGCTTGTATGGTTTGCTGTTGTAGAAGCCGTCACTGTAGTCACTGTAGAGGTTGTCCTCTGGGCCCTTAAACTTGTTGATCAAGTCCAGAGCCTGATACAGCTTCTGAGCTGGGAGTTTTGTTGGAGGAGGAAGGAAACCCTGGCTCTGCTGCTGCTTCCTCCAAGCAGAGAGAGGCCTTGCTGCGGCCTGGGGAACCTGAGATGCCTGTCGATTAAAGGCCGTCTGAAGGAGTCGCAACAGGGCCAAGGAAGGGGAGTAAGGAGAGCTGCTTGAAGACGTTTTGGGCTCTTTCTCTGAGCGTGAAGGAGATGCTTCTGCAGGCTCAGTCTTCTGAGGAGGGAGGGGCTGTGTGGGCTCCTGTTTCATCAATCAGACAAAAAGGAGACAATCGGTTATGACACATATTATAAAAGAAAGATAATCCTTAAAATTTGCTTGTGGGTTTTGTAGCATAATTTGGCTTTAGAAGAATTGAGGCCATAGCGTTGCAACAAATATTTGTCTTGCCTTGAGGATTGGAGAAAGAAACAGAACAATTAATACATTTAAGACAACACAGGTGAGAGAGGGCCAGAGGCCTCATGCCAATTTATAGGTCTTTAACTTTCTTGAGGTCATGCAAGGCCTTATAAAAATGACTACACTGCATTTTTAGGGTTCTAATGCTAAACATAAAAAACGTCCATGTATTTTATTGAGGTTGCATTTAATTAAACAATACATAGAAGTGTACAGCAGCTGCAAGCTAAGTAGAAGGTTAAGATAATTGTTCCCATTTCTTTTACAAAATATTCTAGAAATTCTGGAATGCCAATATTTTAGTAGACTCTGACTCTGATACCTATGGATAAAATTCAAGCTAATCAGTTATTTTCAGAACTTAAATATCTGGTTAAAAGTCCACCTGTTGTCAGTATACACAAAGATTATCTGTTTGAACAATGGTAGACAAAAAGCAGAATCTACAATAAAGGAAACAAGAGACAACTCAAGGATAAACATGTGGAAAACTTTAAGGCAGGGTTAACTCATGAAACAACATGTCAGGTATGAATCTTTCAGAGAGCACTGTTTCATCGATTATCAAGGACGCATTAGAAAAGCACAATGAAGAGCAGAGGAAGCCAAATACAGGGTGATTCTTAAGAAGAATCTAGTTAAGACACATGAGACTTAGATGAATTTCACTTTCCAGTAAGATAATCTAAATGGACAACCAGAGCTCCATAGAATAAGTTAGGTATTTACATGTAAGAATGATGCAGTCTTAAAGAGACATTGTGTAACAATTTCTCTTTTTTACTGCCTGTATGTGTTATTGTCAGTTTGTTATTACCTCCACTAATCGATGCATCTTTTTTATATTAGTTTATACTTAAGGCTGGTCACCCGATTAAGAAGCCCCATTAGAGTCGGTATCGTAAAAGTACAGACGCTGGCGAGGGATAAAATAGTACTAACGCATGGAATAAGAACATGTTTCCACTGGCTGGAAGTTCAGTGTTACTGAGAGGTGGCAATGTAGATCGTTTGGGTATTAGGATACACTATTCATTTGAGTGAAAGCTTGAGTCAGAGCTAGATGACAGTAATTTTTGCACAATATACCTTTAGACCTAAATAAACATTTACAGATATTCGCTCTGACTGATCAAATTTACGAAGAAGAATGGGAAAATTTCTACATTTATACATGTGGTAAACATATATTGCTAATGACTTAAAGCTGTAATTGCAGCTTATTGTAATTCCACAAAAAACAAACAACCCCCCCTCCCACAAAAAAACAGGAATGATTTTATTTGTGGTTTACAAAATCTTAAAAAGTGTTCAAGGCTCACCTCCATCATGTCATCCATATGCTCCACACCCCGGCGGTCGTTCTGAACAGCATTGTAAGGAATGTAGACTCGGGGTTTCTTCATGTGTTCTGGCTTTTCTGATGTTCCGTGGAGTATCAGCTTCCAATTCAAGATCCTTCCCTTGTTTTCCATCCGCCCTGACTATAAAAGCATTAAACGAGTGGTTTAAATAAAAATAGTCAGAAAAGGAGACGCTCCACAAACCTACAAATTCATCAGTAATAGGATTACAGTTACAATCTTTTCATTAGTAAGAAAAATATATATATTTTCTATGCTTTTATTTTCCCACACTAAAATGATTTTATTTATGTTTTACTTCATATTTTAATTAACTAATACAAACCCAAAATTATTAGACAGTTTCATATGAGTGCATTTATAAAAAACTCACAGTATCTGTGATCTTTAAGGTCCAAGTATCTGCAGGGTCTTCTCCCCATGTATGAACAGACATAAAGTCCCAGTTTCTGAAGCCATTTGATGATGTGTCTCTTTCTCTTTCTGCCAGCAGTACAGTTGTTGTACCTGAGGAAAACCCCAAAGGAATAGATTATTTAAAACTATTCTTTAATTTATTTGACATTACACATTTGTTTGTTATTTGTGCTTGAACGTCGCTGACCAGCTGGGGAGGTGAGTGTGATGTGCAGGTCTCCTCTCCGGGTATATTCAATGCTTGCCTCCACTTGCACATGCTCTAGAGAATGGATAGCATTTTCCTGGCCCGCACAGGCTTTAGTTGGAATCTCTATAGTGATCTCTCCTGCTGCCTTTAGGTCTCTGTGGAATGCATTGAATTAGCTGTGCCTGAGACATAAACAACACTTCTTGACAACGTTCTTGCGAACATTATATTACTCCTGAGAAATAATGAGCCGTTCTCATTATTTAAGAAACACAATGGTAAAAATGTATATCATCATCCCTTAAATACCTTAATTTTGTATCTTTTATATAAACCACTGACCTTGGAGGACAAGTAACAATGATATTTTTAACAAGTTAATTTATTTTCGTGACCTTACTATACCTACTCACACTTGTCATCATACTCTTGATCTTGCATTGCTACATTCTTGTCAGAAAACTATTGCATGTTATGCCTGATACGTGATTTTGTTACTCTACCTGTTCTAATTGTATGCTGACATATTTATTTAACAACAGTCCCAAGTGTCCACAATGTGCATCTGCAGATTTGGGAACATTTGGTCATTCATTTGCACAAAAAAAATCAACTAATCCCACTCTCCCGAGAGATGAATGAAAGGATTTATGTGTTTAAGCTGGCATGAAGCCAGAGGGGCATGCTCACTGCTAAGCACTGTAGAGGAAATGTAGAACCGACTCTTCAGGATTAAACAGGGGTTTTGCAAAGTAATCAGAACTTTTTGTTGGGGATATTGAAACCTCTAATCTACTACAATTTGAGGAATAAACATAAACTTAGACATACTTTACTATATGACATGCTCGAACATCCAACAGAATCTACAATTTCTGCATGAACATCTGCACTGTACCTTGGTTGAAATGAGTCATCTCGAATGATGCACTGCTTCTTTTCTGGCACATGCTTCCATACAGTTGGGTCAGCAAGCTCTACAAGTGATTTGGCATTGAGAAGTCCAAATCCGAAGCGGCTGTTAACCATCAGCCCAGCACCATTCCGCTTCCACCCTGGGTTATTGGCCAGAGGATCAAATTCTGAGGTCCATACCACAATGTGCTGCAGGTCTCTCCAGGTAAGATCCGGACTGAGGCAGCAAACATAAGCATAAGGAAGGCAGGTTATTAAGAATGTAATAAAATTCATAAAGCAGAACCGAGTGCTAATAAATTGCCAATGAATTGTAGAGTCTCATACTTTTGTTCCAATGCAAGGGCAAATATCCCAGCAGCCAGTGGGGCAGAAGCTGAAGTCCCAGTGTGAGTCTGAGTGCACTCGTTGTGAAGATCAGCGCTTGTCTGAAGGCAAAAGTAAAAAAAAAATTATGTGATAAAGTAAAACTTATTTACTAGATGAGCTTTCTTAAAATCTACTTACAATTCTCTGATCTGTGTAGTCTCCACTGCTGTATGCTGTAGCTAGGGTGGAAGAGCACTTCTCTGCGTACCATGGAGACAGGCCCTGCTGTGAGGCGCTGCTGATTGAGATTGTATAGATGCTGTCTGTGTATCCGTCACAGTCACAGTTATCACCCTGCCGCCCTCCATTACCTGATGCCCAGACAAAGATAGAGCCTTTTCCACCTCGACCCTACACAAGACACAATAGCAGTTGTTTTACATCACCACACGGAATCAGGTCATCTCGTGTTACTTAGCAAATTAAAATATTTATAAATATTGTTTAGAATGCAACAGAACAGAATTGTATGTATTGTAATTTGAAAAGGATAATATAAGCTGTTTGTTGGTTCAACCAATAGCAGTTTAATCAGTTTTGACTGATGCTCAGTTAAACATCGAAGATACCTTTACAGCTGATGACATTTTGTCAATAAAAATCTTCACACTTAGCATCCAACTGCATTGTCTGTATTGAAACTGATCAATCTTACCCCCTCTGCTGCATACAAATACTCCCATTAGCACTTCCCAGCAACTAAACATTGAGTTGTTTGACAAAGTATTTACATTGCTTGAAATTGTAACAGTTTTGTCATACTGTATTGATAAACTGGAGTGTAATTTGAAGGTTGTGCTATAGAGTAGCACACAGTAATGAACAGAAAAGGTTAATATATTTTTTAATTATTTCAAAACAAAAATACTGACGTGCCTCGTACCGTATGCTATATACTCAAAACCAGTCGTCGATGGATGTCTTGCCTGGTTTGAACCATTTCCTGGCTGCTACACTCAGTATTTCCAATAAATATTTAGTCTCAGCATTTGTCCAAATTGGGCAAAAAGTTCAGCATAACAAAAAGTCATTTTTGGCCCAAATGTTACTCTAAATTCAGTACAGCTATTTGGTAAAAACTGAGTTTAATAATTTCCTCTAAAATTAACAGCATTTAAGCCAAACTTGTTCAGGGATTCACTTATCGCTTTGTCCCACTCCTGCTTTACATACACGGTACTTGTCATTTTGACCTGTTGTAGTCCACTATACAGCCTAGAAATTAGGTTTAGTCTGAAATCCTTTGTATAGGCATAAATAAACACTTTCAATAGCTTTTTTTCAAACACTCTCCATGCATCAGGGATTAAGCAGTTAATATGGTGTTGCACCTGGAGAACCCTAAAGAAGTCCAGGTCATCTCAGCTGTAATGTATTGTTAAGGTTTGGAAATTCCTCAAAGTGCCTTGTTTGAAAAACTGCATTATGATGTGAGGCCTTGTTCAGTCCATTTCTTAAAACTCACATCCAGCTTATTTGGCATGAAATCTGAGTCATACGAGCACCATGTTAGAATCTTGTGTAAGCCAGCCTCCCTTAGTAACTAACAAAGTTTTTAAAGGTAAAGTGACCCATCTATTTCCTACTTTAGTTAGTTTTTTCATCGCTTCACATGCATGCACAGAAGCTGCAACAAATACATTCTCCTCAATTTCTTTCCATCTGACATGAAAATAAAATCTACACCAACAAACCAGAATTCTCAGTTGAGCAGCTATATAATAACCTTTCAAACAGTGCATTCAAAATCTCCCTTTGTTTTTAGTTAACTGCAAAGTTTTATATTTTATTCTTGGCTTTTTTTCTTTCCACACATATCTTGATAATAATTTGTCCCATTCATTAAATTGTGCATCTGGTATTTCAATTGGAACAAATACAGCAGCCTCATCAGGATGTTCATTTTTCTGATCCAATCAGAGACTGAAGAAATACGAATGGTATTAAATTCCACCTCTTGATTTCTTTCTTTCTCTTATTATTCAGTAGTTCTAAATGTTTAGTATAATAGGTGTTTTGGATATTTACACCAAGATATGGTTCATATATGAGGCACAAGATTTGAGGTTTTTAATTTATAGCTTAAGACTGCGCTAAATTATTTAGTATTTACCATCGTTTTAAAAATGAGCTCTCCAAATTTCACATGTAAATGAAAACATCATCTGCAAATAAGGAAGTTTTTGCTCTTGGCCAAGTACTTGGATGCCTGTTAAATTTTTATTCTGGATAATCACCTGCCTTAAAGCTTCTATGAACATTAAAAAACGTACTGGGCTTATGGGCACCACTATCTAGTCCACCCTCTCCAAATCAAATCAGTGTGAAATTTCCCAATGTATTTTCATTGTTCACTTTGCACTTTTAAAGAGTATTTGTAAGGTCCAACCAAAAACTGGATGGAATCTAAATTTTTGTAACACTCTCTATAAGAACTGCCAATTAACAAGGTCAAATACCTTTTTCTGCATTAAGGCTCAAAAGTAAAGCCTGCATGTTATTTTTAGTTATATGGTCAATTACATGTTAGAAGAAGACACTTTTAATATAGTTTGAGTAGAGTTCATTCAATTAATTTTTAGTCTTATTCAAATCCACTGTTATTTCTCGACTATGTGACTTTTTATGAATCAGGCTAATCTTGTTTTGTTTTTTAATATTGGAGCAGTATCCAATTATTTTACCTCATGGGACCCCTTTAGAATCCCTTTATTTAAACTCCAGAATGTTTTCTTCTTCTCAGAAATCAATTGTTTGTCAATATAAATTGAGCCTGACAGGTCTGACAGGTCCATGGATCAGATACTACAACTATGTACTCCACTTATCACTTATTATGTAATCCACCAATCCTTTTAAATAATCAAAAAATAATCGAGCCTGGAGTATACAGAGTGGGGGTGAGAAAAAATGATGAATGGAAAGGTTTAGATGTATGCAAGCATTATTTAAATTTGGTGTTAAAATTTCTACCACAATCAAGTAAACCCTGAGCTTCGGATGCTATCAGTTCAAGTATATGTTAAAATAAAATCTGGCGAGGCATAAACATTTACAAACCTCCCCCAGGTGTCCCCAAATAAAGATGAACCTCCCTTCAGTATCAGCTTTTGTATATGCACCTGAAGTAAAAATGTTTTGCGATTAAAACCTTTACAGCCCTTTTAGGACCTTGATTACAAGAAAACTGGTTTAACCCAGATATCTCCAGCTTTCTAATTCTGTCAAGTGGGTTTGACTGGATTACCTAAACCATTTACATTGTGTGCAATGACTTTAAATCGATGCATTTTAATAGCCCCTCGTAACTGTACTCAATTGACTATATTTCTATGTAAATTAGCATTTTAACAGGCAGAAATATCACCTAGAGCCTTGTGCTCTGAGCTGCAATCGCTGCCTAAGCTAAACCCGAAGTCCCTTCTTAAACGTTTTTACACATAAAATGTTGAAACCCTTTTACCCACTTTGCTCTTATGAGCTACACTGTGTATTTTTGTATTTGTCACAACAAACTTCAATCATTTATATTACAAGAATTCAAGGTTAAGACTATTTCTTTAGGGTGAAAAAAATATATGAATTTGTATTTGAAAATACCTTCTGAATGCCATATTCAAATGCTTTCTGAGCCAGGCGGCCAGGACCCTCTACAGTCTTGCCATCATCATTGGGCCCCCAGCTGGCACTGTAGATGTCCACGTGGTTAGGATTGAATCCAATGGAGCTTGCCTCAATGGCATCGGTCACTATTCCATCCAGCATACGAATGCCTGAGGATAGATAGTTAGGAAGATTTTAACTTCAATTGAAAAGAAAAGCTTAAAAAGAAAAAGGGTTTTCAGAGTATTCAAAACCTCAAAATAGAAGCAGCCAGGTTATATGAGAAAATAAGCTTGGGGAGTTAGGGTCCCTTTGAGTAATATGACATTTCAGTGAAAAACACACTTTCGATACACTAAAACTCAGTACTTTTTAATTGACATTATTATGTTAGACAATAATCATTCTCATCACAAACATTTTGGATATTATGTATAAAAAACTCTTAAACAAACATAAAAGACTTCCAGGTAAAAAACAAAAAAACAAGGAGTTAGAAAACTGTTTTTACATTTGGGACAAAGTAAAAGCCCTCACCTCCAACCTTGGAGTTGTATGCCACTCCAACGCCACATTTATAGTTGTCGGCCTGCATTGCAATCTCACCTGCACATCGAGTGCCATGCCTAAATGAAAAAGAATTAACCACTGATATCTTTAGCTTTTCTCTCAAGGATGTTTACATAAACAACATAAATAACTGGTTAAATCAAATAAATCTAAGTAAAGAAATAAATATTTACTTTATGCCTGCCCTTTTGAAACATTTTTACTATGTTTTTTGTTACTTATATAAGAATACTAATAAAAATAATATGACCAATCATACAGAGGTTTAAGGCAAATGTTAATATTTGGGCTTACTTATTTTCATTGGTGGAGTCGTATCTGGGGAAAGGATCCGGGTCATTGTCGTTGAAATCGTAGCTGGCTGCTGGGTCCTTTAAGAAAGATAACAGAAACAGGTCCAACATATTCATAAAAAAAATGGGAAAATAAATGAAATCGATTAAAATAACGTTAAAGGCATATTTTATATATTAAGTCTACTGTAATATCTAACTAGTAAATCAAAATGTTTGGAGCTTTTGAGCTTTACTGTCATCATTTTGCTGCTGGTTCACAGTAGCAGCTTCAATTCCAATGAAGTCAGATGCTTATGACAGTCATTTTGCTGCTTCTAAATTATGCAAATGAAAGCTGATAATATGCTCTGATTATTAGGGTTGGGTGTCTTGCCTGATTGATCTTTGGATTAATAAGCATGAACCTAATTACATTAGGAGTTGTTGAGATACATTATGTCTCATCTTTGCTCTGTTTTTCTTTCATTGCTCTTGTGAGGCAGCCATAGATGGTTTCTGAATACAGAATTGAACCTTGTTGATTAGATCTGAAAATAAAAAAGGAAGACTAAGATCTTGCAGATGATTGGCACAAAGAAAAAATTCTTTTAAAGTTCAGATTTCATATTTTCAAAAAGCTCAGGGCCGCCTTCATAGAGAAGCATCGTCATATAGCATGTTCATTAACACATCTTGACAAAATACATCGTAAGGTGTCACAAGCAGTGTTGCTATGGCAACAGGAGGTCCAGACGACAGAGGCTGTCTCCATGGCAACGGTGTCTTACGTAGTTAGCATAGATGTCTGTGTGGTTCCACTCCAGTCCGTCATCTAGGACGGTGATCACCACTCCCTTCCCAGTGATGCCCTTTTGCCACACAGGGATTACATGGAGGTCCAGCTTTGGCAGCGAGGACGACGTCCGGGTGTCTTGCTGGATGTGGGGACAGAAAAAAAATTTCTGAAATCACTTCAATTAAACAAGGCTTTTCAAGCATTATCATGATGAGCGTCAGCCAAACTTCCCGCCTGCTGAGTCCGCTGACCTTTGCAGACATTCATTACTGGGTTGTCAGCTCTTTCTTTGTAGGAGTTTGAGTCCACTCCCGCTGCTTCACAACCACTTACAGGAAGAGTGCGACTTGAAGGTCAAATTAATTAAGGCTTTTGTGTTTTTTAGTACCACGTCTTCAGTCTCAAGACTCAAACTGCTGTGTGAACGTGCACTTGTTTTTTGGCTCAGCTCATATTCATAAACATCCCCTTTTAATCAGAAAATCTGCACAGGAATGAGGATGAATGAACATGTTCGGTTCGATGCCTTCCTTTTTCTGCCTCTATAGGATTGTGGTTCAAAGCTGGAAGAAGCTGAAACTAAAAAAAGAACTCTGCTCTATGTGCGTTATGCTCAGACGCTGCAGAACACCAGCCCAGATATGACTCATCTCTGCGATGCATTGGCCTCTGCTTTGATTGGTTGTGTTTCTGCTCAGTCCTCTCACCTATTGCACCTCTGTAATTCAGAATGTTTCTAGCTTTAAGTCAGCTTGCTTTAAGATGGGTGGCATGAGACTAAAAAACAATAATAAAACTGATAATTATTGTGAGTGTCCACACAAAGAAAAACGCTATTAAGACAGACTGACATGATCAACGGCATACAGGCGGAAGGAATTCCAGACCACATTTATGAGTCACTTACTAATTAGCTTCATGCAGTCACCCACTCAGAACAGATAAACACACTTCATCCTACACTCTGCTACAGCTATCCACCTCTGATCACGTCACAGAGCTCCACCCTTACTCTAGTATCTGCAGGTCTGCCAGTATCACAGTTATTAGCCTGTAAGTACTGTCCATGCAGTCTTTTATGACCTCTCAGTTTTTTTCTTATCTAATAATTTTCTTTGTTTGTCATCTAGGCTTTCGTTTGCTGGTTCCAAAAAAGAAAGAAAGAAGCATTTTAACAACAAAGGTTAGAAATAAAAATGGAAGTTAGCATGTGATCACTGTTTAATCTGCTTCTGAGTTCAGGCTTCCCTAAACAGTGAATACTTAGAGTAATGCGGCCCTCCCTGTGACACTGACGGGATTTAATGTGGAAATACAAAAAGCGGCACTTTGAAGCCGATTCCATTAGTGTCATCATGCCTCATCGGCAAAGCTGATTCATCTCAATTTGTTTTCTCAGTCGCCACAAGCATGACTCATGTTCTGTTAGTACAGGTGCAAAAAGGGATGAGGCTGAGAGAACAGATCTGTCTTTACTACATTCACATCTTTAAATAGATATCTCATTTGGGGTAAGTAAGTGATGTTGATCAAGCCTAAAATGGCAAATTAAGGATTTACTCTCTTTAGTAAGTGATTAGCCCCATCAGAGTAAATCATTGATTAGAGTCATGTGAGCTTAGAAGATACATTTTTTTAAGTAACTTTTAAAATCCTGCTCCAACACATCTAAATCAAATGGGTGAATGACATCCTCAGTGAGCTGTTAATAGAAGGCCAGACAATTTGTCAATCGTATAATTAGGTACATTTGAACAACACAGCATCTAAAAGTTGAATCTAAAGGACTCTTGTAAAATGTTTTGAAAAGCAAAGCTTAACTTTGCCACATTTTGTGAAATTAAAATTATACAGTTTGCATTAGAATGTTTGGTAAATTATCTGTGCAGAGCAGTGCAACAACTTCAAGGCAAATGATGAATATCATTGGAATTTGGTGTGAACAATCTTAAGAGTGCATCATCTTTTGGGAATTAGGCTTGTTTTTGGTTTACTGTTTCAATTCAATTCAAATCAGTTTATTTATATAGCGCCAATTCACAACATATGTCATCTCAAGGTGACATTTCAATCAGATCATAAAGTTAAATGGATTCAAAGTTTTATTTCTAAAGAAAAACCAGTTGATTGCATAGACTTATTGACTCAACTTATTGACTTCATTATTTAAAGAGTTTCTATCTTATGTCAAAAAACTAAGGGAAAAAAAATCTGCTAGGTTTTGGACAGATGGACAGCTTTCATAACACACACACACCTGTTCAGTTTACTGAAACAGGTGTGTTCAGTCAATAAATTGCGTAAAAGGTGGAACACAGGCTGCCTTATAAATAGCATTTATTCTCTTCATCTGATTCCCCAATATGCGTAAAATTTAAACCGTCTGATGCTACGTGGCAAGTATGTTTTGGTGTTGCAGGAAATAACCCAAATTTTGGGGCTAATTTTTTAAATTTCTTTTCCAAGTTCTATGGATGTGATCTCTCTCAGCCAACCTTGTTTATCTAACGAGCTTAAGACTCTCAGTATGTGCAAAGCTCGGGCAATCGCGCAGGCTATGGTTACTGCCAAGAAAATTACTCTCTTTGGATGAACTAAAGATGCATAAATCAAAGTTTTAAATCTTGGGTCTCAGAGCTTTCAAATACCTTGTTGGAAAAAATTTGATTTGAGTTTCATCGGATTTGGCAACTAGTTTTTGATTAAATTGCACAACAAAATGTGACCAAAGGACACACACAACATCTTAATTGCATTTGAATATTTATTTGCCCATAATTTTAAGTATAAGTAATTGCTGTTTAGAAAACCACAGTAAGTGCTGCTTTGATTCATGAGAAGAATTGGACAAAAGTCGATGTGGTTTTCTATCTGGATGTTCTCTTCTGTCCAATGAAGATGGATAAATAAAGCAATAAAAAGGATGGACAGCTGTGATTGTCCTCTCATCTACTGCAAGCCATATGATGGCTAAAACATCCCTCTATGGGTAAATTAGGATTTAATACATCCTGTTCTGGCCTATCCTGTCCTGCATGGATTACAGCAGTGTGACCAATTAAGCAAATGGCTCTTTTGGCTGGAACTGCTTGAAATAATGTTGCTGTTTTGTTTTTTTCTATCTCGATGTTGTCATTATTTGTTTGTGTGTATGCAGCATGTTTCAATTCTGGTTTATTTTTCATCTGACAATTGCATTTATGTGCTGAGGCTTGCTGATACTCTTCCTTAATGTGTAAAAACATTCATGTGTCCCAAATGCACAACGACAGGGGTGAGATGTGTCCAGCTCTCACAGGGTTTTATAATGCATGCAGATTTTTGCAGACAAACTGCAGGCATCAGAACCAGTGTACAAAACATTTGACCAGTAAGTAAACACAAATAATTCTTAATCCCTCTCTGGTTATACCGGGAAGTCCAAACACCTTCACTAGAGCTACACTTCCCACGGCATGAGATCCATCTAACAATATACAGACTAATGCTTTGCCCAGAGCAACATCAGAATGTGGTGGTAAGAAGCTGCAATTAAGGTCTTGACTTTCAGTATGCATAATGACTCCTACGGTTACTAGTACTATATGCACTAAACCCATAGTCACCTCTAGCGTAAAGATGAGTGATTTTAAACAAACTTTTTATAAAGTCTTGATTAAAAATAACTCACTAGGTACCACTGCTGGTTCCACATTGGATCATCAAAAAGCTTCTCCACTGAGCAGTCCCTGCACTCCCTTAGGGCGGCTCGCTTGCTTCGCCGCTTCTCATACTGCTGCTCTGCCCACAACACCTGGAGAGACAAATAGTGAATATTGATTTCATCAATCCCTGAAGAGGAGATGCTCCAGCACAGGTTAGGTCAAGATGATCAAGCATTAAACAACCCACCCGATCATCCTCTGAGAGCTGGCTGGTCATGTGCCCGGCACTGCGTCTCATTCTGCGGGGGTGATTGTGATTTCTGAACAAGAAATGGTTTTCCAGGGCCCCAATCTACAGAGAGATCAACATGTTAGACAGAAAGGGGAATAATATGAAATAAAGCATCTGGTAAAGCTAATACCAGAGCTCTTTGCTCTTTATTTGACATGCTGAACTCATCATGTCTGTCTGTGCTTTTCTTTTCTATTATATTTTATTCTATTCTATAGGTTTTTATTTATTAATTTTTTTTTTTTTTACAGATGGGGATATATAAATCCACATTTTAAAGCAGCAGGCAGAGCAGCATCACCAACATTAAACCAAATTTAATAGTATATAAATATGTTTCCCAGACCGATATAATTTAAAATGAATTAAATTAATGATTTTTAAGCTTGCTACATTTATTTTAAAACTCATATCCTTCTAAAGTAACTGTCTACATATTACTTAAAAGAACTACATTTCAATGAGCTAAAAATTTGAGCCTCAGGTTCTTTTCTTTCTCAATGCCTATGTCATTTTTCACAAAGGTAGACACAGTAATGGTAACTTGGATAGCAATTAACGCTGTGAGTTAACGTTGTAAAAAGGTTAAAAAAAATTAAAGGATTCTTACATTTTAATTGTGAAATCTAAATATTGCTGCTCAGTGATACACAAAATACCCTTACAGGACAACCCTGTATTTAGCCCTGTATCAATCTCCCCACTGCCTCCCTGTCCCTGCTAAAGAAAATCTCACAGAATTATACTGCCACTACCATGTTTCGCAACCACTACAATTGTTAAACTTGGTCTAATTTGGCCACAGCAAATGCTTTGATATATTTTCTATGTCTCTTACATAAGTTGTGGCAAACTGCACATTTATAATCCAAACCCAAAAGCCATAGGATAATGTAATGAGTTTTTAACATGGCTTTGTTATATTTAGAACCAGCGTCAGTGAGTGGAGGAGATACAAAACGGACATCCTATGAAGGAAAAGATATTTGCATATACAAAAAGGTACATAAATTGATAAAAGATTTACCTATCATGCATCTAATAGTGGATGGGTCCAGTGGTTCCATAATTTCACGGGAATATATATATTTTTTAAACAGAGTTCGGTCTCATATCCTCTTTCCAAGCAAATTATATAATTTAGAACACACTGATTTGTCTGTATTGTAGGTTTATTAGGCGGTTGAAATAAAAATAAAGCCACACACATCCTGCTTTGGGTCTGCCTATGTTAGATGTGCTAACATTTTCCCTAAATGATCTTTTTAAATCTATGTGATCAAACTGTAGGGCGTGGGCCTACCTGTCGAACCAGCTGGTAGTCCAGCTCCTTGGCGATGGCCTCGGCGGCGGACAGCCCGCCGGGGATCTCCACAGCCCACTCGTTTAGGTACTGCCTGTCCGCGTAAGACAACGCCTGAGAGCCGGACAGCAAGGAGCAGAGGACGGTGAACACACAGCACATCACCGCTGGACCACATCTCATTTCCATATCAAAGGTAAATCAAACAGATAAGAAAAGAAAAGAAAAGTGTAATCTCCAAAAATCGGCGGCGCAAAAAAACTGCCAAAGGTAAACGTTGCGTATTTATAACAACCAGATAAACAGAAGAAATAAATTTAAAAAGCTCCTTTGAAATCAGATTCAGCGTATTTCCAAACTCGCTGTCTGGGATGAATAGAACTGCTTGTTGTGGCAGAGGAAATACTGCTGAGAGGATGGGCTGGTGTCAGTGCTTGTCTGTGGTCGTGATGTTGATGGTGGTGATGGTGGGGGCGTTCACACGTCAAAAATTCCTGATGCTCTGACGTCAGTTTGGCGTATACCTTTGGTAAGATTGGTTGCCGGTCCCTGTCGGAGAAAGTCTAAATGGGAGGTAGGAGGACTAAACATATCCCGAGCGTTTATCTCTGAAATAGATACAAACCAGTATCAAAAACAGAGAGATAAATTAAGAAAAAAAAATTAGGCGTTATGTATATATCATCGTAGAGGCGGATGTGGTGCAGCATCTGTGGCACGCGTCATCATGCTATAATCACGGTCACTCAGGCATGTCGGAGCTGTTTTCCTGTCTGATCTGAGCAGCAGATTAGAGCTGCAGGAACTCTTATCAGAGCGATTCTGCTTTTTCTGGTTTCAGGACCTCGGACAGCTCCTCCTCCTTACCATTAACCTGAACTAAGCGAGAGTGGGTGTCCATTATGTTCAGTCAGAGGGGCTTCTTTAGGTTTAAAACTCAAATATGATCTTTCATGTAAATAGACCATATTACTTATACTAGTGTATGCATGCCCCAGCCTCATATAGGTCTCTATAGTGGATCTATAATGAATAATTTGTACAAACAATAAGAATGCTTTAAATATATTTACTCTTGTGGATTATTGAACGTTAAAAATATTTCCAACAATAACAATCGGGGGATAAGTGTTAAGAATGATCACAGAACCAAACTGTGTAACTTAAAAGATACGTTTGCAATGACATTTGTTCTGTATAGATTTATCAGTAATTTTGAGGTCTAATGAACAAGTTTTTGTTTTTTTATGCAATATGTCTTTTTTAGGGGGGATTATGGTTAAAAAAATTGGTTAACTTTCTTATTTGGTACTTTGTGGGCTTAATGTTTCCTGCAATTAAGATTATTTTTTTAAATGATCCAAAGTTAAGTCAGATAGAATAGAGACTCTCTGTTACTCAAGACTTATTTGCTACTCAAACACTTTTTTCTCTTCTAACATTGTCTGCATTTATTAACTAATTTCTTCCCTAAAACATGGAACATCTTCCGTATTACCACTTTTTCATTATGGCAAGATGTGAGGAATGCACAACCACATCTAAAATGGGCCACTTTGCTTATCTGATTAAAACTCTCCTTGCCTGGTGTGTCAGGCCTGACATTTCTTTGGTATGTGAGCAGTTGTGCCATCTTCTTACCGTGTTTGAGACATTGTCTTATAACCTGAAATTGCCTCGATGTTCTCTATAACTTCCTACCCAGTTTTTGATGTTTTTCTTGATGACTATGAAGCTGCTTGTTCACAACTGTTTTCCAAAATCTCTCTGATGCCCTAATAGAAGGGCTGCATGGATACTGAGAAAATCTAACAAACGGAAGACTCTGTTTACTGAGGAGGCAACTTATTTTATAATCCTTTCTTGATTGCCAATATAGCACAGAAAATTGATGTCTCAGGGCTGGATAACAGCCCTAATGCTTGGCCTCCACAAGTATACAATAATTGTAATGTATTTCAAACTTTATTAGAAAAGACACAGAAAATAATGGAGGTTAGAAAGGCAGAGGCAATAAGAATTAAGATGAGAGAGAGAAGAGAAAGTTAAAGAGAGAATGAGAGAGAGAGAGAGAAAGAAAGGGGAAAAAAACAACAAAATAGAAAGTACATAATAAATCCCAATAGTCTGCTCCCACACCTGGAAGAAATGAAAAGAAAGAAAAACAACAGCAGCCAAAAAAGAGGAAGTATCCCATGGACACACAGTAAATACATTATACGTGTATACAAACATTAAGATACCTGTAGTGTATACACATGAGTGTGATGGTGTACATAAGATTTATAAGGATTCTTCAACAGGAGGATATACTCAGTTGCAGGTTTGAGGTGCCCCAGACCTTTTGTGAAAACACACCCACAACATTCAACATCAAGTGTGTGTCATCACATTGCATATTCAGAATAAAGTCCAGAAAGTCGTCCCTGGGGGTGCACATCACAGACAAACTCACCTGGACTGAAAACACCACCTCACTGGTCAAAATGGCACAGAAGTGCATGCACTTCCTGATGAGGATGAGGAGAGCCCACCTGCCCTCGCCCATCCTCACCACCTTCTACAGAAGCACCATAGAGAGCATTCTGACCAGCTGTCTCACTGTGTGGTGTGGAGGCTGCAGTGCCTCAGACTGGAAGAATGTGAAAAGAGTGGTGAGAATAGCAGAGAGGATCAGCGGGGCTCCTCTTCCCTCCATAAAAGATACTTCATCCCAGCGTTGTGTGTCCTGAGCCAGTAACATCATCAGCGACATCTCACACCCCCACTATGGACTGTTCTTAGTTCTGCCCTCTGGGAAGAGGCTTTGCAGGATCCACTGCAGGTCGAGCAGATTCTGTAACAGCTTTTCCCCCACTGCCATCAGACTGCTGAACTGCTTAAAACTCTAATCAAGTCACCAGTCGAGACTCTGCATCACACTAAAAACATCATGCTTTATGGCATCACATTTATTTCAAAATACCCATTAGCAAAACATTTATGTTAAACTGCTACTTTTATCTACAGTACCACAGCACAACAAAATCACACGTGAGAGAAACTGCCTCTTCGAGAGGAGATAATCGCTCTTTGCACTCGTCAGCTCCTCCCACGAGCTCCCGGGATCGTGCTTGGGATCTCACCACCAGTGTTGTTCTTGACAGCCATCGCAGATTTAGTCATAGTCTTAGTCTTCAGGACTAACTTATTTTTTGTCACATTTTAGTCATTACAATATGTGATAGTCGACTAAAACCAACTAAAGCTTAAAATGGTTTTAGTCTAGTTTTAGTCAGTTTTATGTTGACAAATAAGAAAAAGTTAACATTTACAATTTTGAATAACAACCAGATTCTTTACCAAACTAACAGCTCTTGACTAGATACTTCAATTGCTGAGTATAGAAATCTGCCGTGCAGTTCATCATTGCTGTTGGGCAGAAAACGTAGATTTTCTTTTTTTTATGAATTAATGCCCTACTTTATAAAAAAGTGTCTAACAAAGGCTGTGAAAATAGCAAATCTAGTTCAAGACATCATATTGGTTAATATAACAGAAGGATAAGTTAACAAAATGTATAACTAAGGAATGATTTTAGACATACATCTTATGTACAACGTAAAGCAAACACTTCCTGATCTACTATGAATTATGCATTACACACGGATCAATCTTCCTTCTTTAACCCAAAAAAGCAAAACAGCAAAACAAAAACATTATTCTTTCTACTTTGGCAATTTTGGTTTTATTTATAAGAATTTAACCCTTTGTTAGCACTGCTCAGGAGTCAAAGTAAATTTAATTTACAGGGCTTTGATATAAAAAAAAATATAGAGAGAACCGACATGTTTGCCTTGTACTGCTATGGCAATGCAAAACTAAACTGAATTAACATACTAACTAAAATGTTGAAATATTCAAAGGAAACAGAAAATGTTTTAATGACAATCCAAGGAAACATTTATATCATATTTGAATAGATAGACACAAGAACTATTGGGGAGAAATTTACCTTTTTTCTGGCTCTTTATCCAAAAATAAACAGTATGCAATTAAATATTTTCTTTGGATATAATTTAGGGATTCCTTTTGGTAGTAAAGAATGTTTAGCATCACCTCTTGTGAACTGGAACAAATAAAATATTGAAAGTTAGACAAAGGGATTTTTTAACGCTTGGCAGGGAATGATCAGCCACATAGTTTATTAAGTAGCGAGAGCAGGAATAGCCTTACAGCTGAGAGCGAACCGTCAGTGTAGTGCAAAAAAGCGCAGACTCTTAGCTACATTCATGCAAAGACGCATTTCTGCGCAAGCAGAGATGGAAGAGAAGAGTTTGTGAGAGTTGATCGCTCAGTAACAGACCATTCCAGGTTATTTTCTCTGCTGCCGCTGCTGCCATGATCCATTTGTGCTCATGCGGAATGTGCACCGCTGCACGCAAGTTGGGCAGGATGACGATGGAGCACAGTTGATACTGCTTAGCTTGTCTAACAGATTACAGCACAATGATGCATTTTAAATGTCTAAACGACCACCCACTAATTTTTATTTAGTCTTGTATTTGTATTTCAATTGTATTTGAAGAAAAGTTCAACTTAAGACTAGTCATGTTTTAGTCATCAAAGATCCACATTTAGCTTGTCAGTTTTCGTTATCCTAATGAAAAAAAGGAGCGTCAACGAAATAATTTCGACATCTTTGGCGAAAACAACACTGCTCAACGCGCGCACAAATTTCTATCCAGCGGCCACTGTTGAGGACGGCTGCACTCTCGAAAGCGTCTCTGCCCTCAGACAGATTTTCTCCTTGCGCAAAGGAAAATGTGTTTTGATAGGCTGCGCGGAGACAGACCTCTTCTGTTAGCCTCCTCCTGATTGGGCCTTGTAGACAAATTCAGATGGGAAGTAGTGTCAGGAAACCTTTGACTGACAGCTCATCATACATAAGTGAAGACGACGGCTGGAAGCGGGTCAGAAGTGGAGACTTCTCCAGTGTTTGCGGTACGTGGGGTAAGTGGAATTCAGAACCTTTCTTGTTACCAGAAAAGCACAATTACTCCTCATGGAGTACTGTAGTGCTATCTTCAAATAAACAGCCATAGAATGACATACAATGACACTACTTCTCATGTAATCGTGCAAGGCCCAATCAGGAGGAGGCTTACAGAAGAGGTTTTTCTCTGCCCAGCCTGTCAAAACACATTTTCCAGCCCTGCTCCTATCTCTCAACAACCGAATACCACACCCTTTAAAGGGACACAATACCCCAGTATCAGGAAATGACCTTAAATCAGAGGAATCAGAATCAGGAGAAAGAATAGTGCTCTCACATTTTAACATTTATGCTCTACTTTTTTTTGTCGTATAAAACACAATACCAATAACTTATATTAAAGTTAGAGAGTGGAAAATCACTATATTTTACAAAAAGGGTATAAATATTTTTACAAGGCATTGCATAGAGAAATGGTGCCTCCTGCTCATTTGATCATTTCCTCCATGTAAGATTACTTCAGCAGCAACATGATTGTGGTGATAAATGTTCTTTATGGATATTGCTTTATTGTGGTGGAAAAATTTATCACAGGAAAGACCCATGACTCACAAAAAACACACACAGAGTGATTTTTGTTTGCTA